TTCAGCAAATACTTATTGAATGCTGCTTGTGCTAGGAAATATATGATGAAGAATACAAAGTTTTTTCTACTCATGGAGACTACATTTTAATAAAAAGACTAAATCTTGACATCATTCTCTTATGTATTTGTATTGTATATAAAGAAAGAGTATTTGTTTTTCTCGATGAGAACTTTATTCCTTCAGCGAATAATATATTAATGAAAACAAGTGGGAAGTTTCATGGAGAAATTACATACAAGAAATAGGAGGAAAATTTACAAAGGTCAAAACTTAGTAAGTCATATTGACCTAGCATGTTGCCTGTATTATTTAGGTATGCAATAACTTTTTACTGAAATGAAATGTTCTCAAGTACTGTGAGGCCAAAGAAATCAGAGAGGAAGGAACACCATCTGTGTTTGTGGGCAAAGTAGTAACAAAACTTTGTTCCTTCCTGCGTAAGTGTTTAGTTAACTTTTTAGGCCAGGCATGGTGGCTCACGCCTATAATCCCAGCACTTTGGGAGGCTGAGGCGGGTGGATCACGAGGTCAAGAGATCGAGACCATCCTGGTCAACGAGGTGAAACCCCATCTCTACTAAAAATACAAAAATTAGCTGGGCATGTTGGTGTGCACCTGCAGTCCCAGCTACTTGGGAGGCTGAGGCAGGAGAATTGCTTGAACCCAGAAGGCGGAGGTTGCGGTGAGCCGAGATTGTGCCATTGCACGCCATTCTGGGTAACAACAGCGAAACTCCGTCTCAAAAAAAAAAAAAAAAGAATTTAGTTAACTTTTTATGTATGTTTCTTGGAGCCCTTATAGTGTCAACATTAATAGGCTATACTGCTATGGAAAAAATGATCTCTGAGTAAATTGCATGTAGACCAGAAGGAAATATAAATGGTTTCCAGATGCAGATACAATGGCTATAGGCTTCATTGAATGCAGTGATTCTTGAAACTGGATAAATCATTTATGGGGTCCCTGGAAGCTATGCCTATGGAGTTGTTTCAAGAGATATTAGCAGGCCCGGTATGGTGGCTCATGCCTATGATCCCAACACTTTAGGAGGTTGAGGTAGGACTGCTTGAGCCTAGGAGTTTGAGAAGAGCCTGGGTAATACAGTGAGACCACCACCTCTGCAAAAAATTTAAGAAGTTTATCTGGGCATAGTGGTGTATTCTTATAGTCCCAGCTACTCAGGAGGCCAGGATGGGAGGATTGCTTGTGCTCAGGAGGTTGAGGCTGTAGTGAGCCATGATAACACCACTGCACTCTAGCCTGAATGACAGAGTGAGACCCTGTCTCTAAACAAACAACAAAAAAAGGAATATTAGCACCTGTGATGCATGAGGCATCTCAGCTAGTATGGTCTATACACCCACCTGATTTAGAGCTCATCTCCTTGCACATGAGCTGTCAGTGTTGGGATTAAAGCTCCCAGATAGCCATGTGGACTGTTGTAAGGACTCCTGCAGAATGGGAACTTGACACTGTAGTGCCTGCATGCTGTACTTCTCTCCTGTATTCATAGTGAGTCTAGTGCCAAGTGTAGCCTGTGATAGTCTGATTTTTAACGTTCTTTGAGCTTAATGGGCACTGCAGTAGTGTAATCAGGTCTTGGGATCCTGACAGGTATTACCCCCAGGTCCATTAGGAGTTCTCTGTTACTTTTAGAGATCATTTTTATAGTGTAATATGCCAATTTTCCTTTAATTTAGGCTCAGGTTTCTGGGACTTTTGTCCTCCTCAGTTTGCAGATTTCACAAGCAAATTATTTTACATTTCTTTTCTACAGACTTGACCCCTTATTTGGGATGTGTGAAAAATTTTTACAGGAAGTGGACTTTTTTCAGAGGTACGTATTTTATATCTCTTCTGGCTTATTAAATCTTGGTTCCACAGAGAATAGCACTGGCAGGCAATAGGAGCAATCAGAAATCACATTCCTCAGTTTAGCCTGTGCAGCCAAGCTATCATCTCTGGCCATGTTCCCTAATTTGTTTTTTTCCTTAATGTTATAGAAACTTCTTTGAAGTTAGAGCTTCAAAACTAAACCTACCAGGAATCACTTGGATTTAGTACTTAGCTAGGGTCATAAAAAGACAAGTAATATGAAGAAAACTTGTAAATATGTTTGTTGAAAAAAATAGTCATCTGTTTTTTCCACCACTGTTTGCTTACACTGCTCTTTATTATTTTTTTTTTATTTTTATTTTTTTTGAGGAGTCTCACTCTGTCACCCATGCTGGAGTGCAGTCGTGTGATCTTGGCTCACTGCAACTTCCGTCTCCTGGGTTCAAGTGATTCTCCTGCCTCAGCCTCCCAAGTAGTTGGGACTACAGGTGCTTGCCACCACCCCCAGCTAATTTTTGTATTTTTAGTTTAGACGGGGTTTCATCATGTTGGTCAGGCTCTTCTCGAACTCTTGACTTCAAGTGATCTGCCTGCCTCAGCCTCCCAAAGTGCTGGAATTACAGATGCAAGCTATTACTGCGTCTGATCTCATTATTATTTTTAGAGACAGTGTCTTACTTTGTCACCCAGGCTGGAGTGCAGTGGCAAAATCAGAGCTCACTGCACCCTTGAACTCTGGGGCTAAAGCTGTCTTCCCTCCTCAGACTCCTGAGTAACAGGCATGTGCCACCAGGCCTGGGTAATTTTTAATATTTTTTTTAGAGATAGGGTCTTGCTGTGTTGCTCAGGCTAGTCTTGAACCACTGGCTTCAAGATATCCTCCGGCCTCTGCCTCCCAAAGTATTGGGATTACAGGTCTGAACCACTGTGCCACGCCCACACTGTTCTTACACTTGCATATTTCTCTAAAATATACAAACAGTTGTTCTGCAATTCTGCAGGTAAATTTTATCTTGTAGAATACATATATTTTTTCAGAATTTTATATGGAATGAATTGGTTAAAGCACATGCAGTAGTTGAACGGAAAGCCTGATGAAGAAATAGGACCCCAGGGAATGACCAGACCTGTGGTATGCTGGCAAAATTATACTGAGAGAAGACAGAGGATCTTAAAGCACTGATGAAGTCTGTTTCATTTCTTCCACTATTGTCTCTACCCTCATGAAGTTCACCAAACCTGAGGATTTTTTTTTTTTTTTCAAACCTGAGGATTTTATGACTCTGTATTTGTCATTTGGGTGATGATGGCTTTTTTTTTTTTTTTTTTGGAGACTGAGTTTCGCTCTTGTTACTCAGGCTGGAGTGCAATGGCACGATCTCAGCTCACTGCAACTTCTGCCTCCTGGGTTCAGGCAATTCTCCTGCCTCAGCCTCCTGAGCAGCTGGGATTACAGGCACGCACCACCATGCCCAGCTAATTTTTTGTATTTTTAGTAGAGACGGGGTTCCACCATGTTGACCAGGATGTTCTCAATCTCTTGACCTCGTGATCCACCCATCTCGGCCTCCCAAAGTGCTGGGATTACAGGCTTGAGCCACCACGTCCGGCGATGGCTTCTTAAAGGGCTGAGTTGCATGCAGCACTACCTTCACCAGCAGGTAATGCTCTCTAGCAAATGGTACAGTCTAGCTTGGTCTTTTAAAATTCTAGTTTTGAGTCCTGGCACAGTGGCTCACACCTGTAATCCCAGCACTTTGGGAGGCCGAGGTGGGTGGATCAGGAAGTCAGGAGTTTGAGACTAGCCTGGCCAACATAGTGAAACCCCATCTCCACTAAAAAAATACAAAAAAATAGCTGGGCATGGCGGTGGGCACCTGTAATCCCAGCTACTTAGGAAGCTGAGGCAGGAGAATCACTTGAGGCAGAGGTCACAGTGAGCCAAGATTGTGCCATTGCATTCCAGCCTGGGCAACAGTATAAGACTCCTTCTCAAAAAAAAAAAAAAGGTCCTAGATTTGAATCTGAAATAAGTTCATGCCTTACTTTTGGCTTTAGATTCTTTAAGGTAGAGAGTCTGTTTTTGCACAGTTGGGTTAAAGAGGTTTTTTGGGAAGATGATAGCTCTGAATCCCCAAAGTTCTTCATCTGTTGTTCCTAATTCATCCTTTGAGTTTCTGCACAGATATCGCCTCCTCATTGAGATATCTTTCGTCTATCCCCTTGCACAAGGCAGAAGTCAGATCAGTCCGAGCCAGGAGTAACTTTCTTTTCTGAGCCTTAGTACAGCATCATCCTCTCTGAGTTTCAGTGTTTCTGCCACTTCGTATTTGTTAAAATAATTAATGAGTCTGTAGTATGAAAATAAAAATTCTAATAATGCATAGGATTGCCGGGAGTTAAATAAGATCATGTAAAATACTTAAGAGTATGTTTGGCACATGATGGTTATGAGTAAACAGCGGCCTTTCTTTTGTGATCATGTGATTAAGGCATAATGATATAGGTCTGTCTTGATCGTAAACTGCAAACTCCTCTCACTTCATCGTTCCTTCTGCTTTGTAGTTTGGCTGGGGCCCAGCCTGTGCTAAATGAGTGCACAGTTGAATGAGTAAACTGCTTCCGTTTGTTCCTCTAGGTATTTCATCACTGATTTGCCGCACTTGCAGGACAGCTTTGTGGACAAACTTCTTGACCTTATGCCCCGACTCATGACATCCAAACCTGCAGAAGTGGTCAAAATTCTACAGACCATGCTGCGGCAGAGTGCCTTCCTGCATCTCCCACTTCCAGAGCAGGTCAGGGTCTATTTGGCCCCTATAGGACAAATCTGTCCAGACAGTCAAAAATCTTCACCTTGGTGATCTTCTTTGACCAATGGAGTAACTGGGTTAGGCTCTTCTCTGAGTGACTCCCACGTGCCCACTCATTAGATAAGGAGAGAAGAGATTAAAGATTGTGTTTTCCTGTCCAGGAATGATCTGGCTTTAGAATCATAGTATTTTCTTCTTGCTTACAGATCCACAAAGCCTCAGCCACCATCATCGAGCCAGCAGGCGAGTCAGACAACCCTTTGCGGTTTACATCCGGGTTGGTGGTGGCCCTGGATGTTGATGCAACCCTGGAACATGTGCAGGACCCTCAGAACACTGTGAAGGTCCAGGTCTGTCAGGTTTGGGTCCTCTTGGAGCTTTGGTCCTCATGGACCTTGTGTTGAAGTATTTAATGTCAGTACTCCAGTAGTCTCTTCCTGAAGGACAGAAACTGGGACAGGAGAAGAAATGAGCCTCCGTGGGAAAGAATCTAGGCTTAAATCTCAACTACTCCTGAGGCTGGTTTGGAGCAAGTTACTTTAAACTCTTGAGTTTCAGATTCTGCAACTGACAAATAGGAGGAGTTGACATTGAGAAGACATAATGTATTTAAAGCCCCCAGTACCCAGTAAGCATTCATTAAATGATAAGACCTTTTCTAATCTTACAATGTGATGCTAAGACTGGTCTTTTGTTGCAGAAAACTAACGAACAGGTTATTTTCAGGCTAAGAGTCAGTCAACTGACAGATAAAATTTATGGTTGGGAAAAGGTGATCACTAGGAAATATTCTTTCCCTAATGTAATAGAGACATGTGAGAAATGTAGCAGAGACACTAAACAATTCAGACAGTGCAGTTATGCTCTACAAAGAGTACTACCCCTTCATTCATTCATCCATCCATTCATTCATCTTCCTTCCATTCATCTGTGCAATGTGCTTACTCTTTGCACCAGCTAAGTGCTGTGGTTGCCAAGGTAAATATGTCACGGTTCTTGTTCTCGGAGTGTCCACAGTTTAATTGAGAGACATACAAATGGGCAGGCCATTATAAAACAGAGTTTGGTGAATAGACATGCACAGGATAAGTTCAGAGTACTCAATTTGGAGTGTGGTGGAAGCTCAGGAAAGGAAAGGAGAAGGGTATAAGGAGGTATTCTGGGCCAAAGGGATATGAGTCAAAGCAGGGATGCAAGTACTGGCAGGAAGTACAATAAGGGGACAGAAAATTAGTCTGGAGCAGGCAGGGAAGGCATCCTGGAGGAGGTAAGGATGAATCAGGCCTTGAAGATAATGTTTTTTGGCTATGGTGACAGTAGAGGAATGGGCCTTCTGGCTTCCCAGCAGGAATTATTATAAATTATGAAACCTGCAGAGAACTAGTTCTGATCTAGCTGTGAAGTCATATTGCAGTATTTTTTTTTCACGAGTGGTAGTCCACCTTCACTGCACTTTAGGATTACTCAGAAAGCATTAAGAACAGGTGAATAGGTCTCAGCCTACATCAATTAAATAAAAATACTGAGAGTAGGGCCCATAGACACTAGTGTTTATTTTAAGAGCTCATAGGTGATTCTAATGTGTAGTCAGTGATGCCAGCAGAACTACTGTTTTATGTTGTCCCTGAAAAAAACTTCATTGACCAATTGAGCATAAAGGAGATTGCAGGCAGGTTACTTAAGGGTCGTCTCCTAGACTGTCTCCTAAAAAACCCCCTTCAAAGCACCTCTACCACATGCAGGGCTAAACCTTTTGGATACCTTACAGGTAGAGGGACAGGAAACTCACTGCCCCATTGTGGAACAGGTCCAGTGGTTCGAAAGTGCCATCCAGTCCAGTCACCACACGCTGAATCATTCCTCTGTTTTGGGCACTACTTCAGGTGCTGGATAGAGATACAGCAGTAAACATGCCTCAGAGATGACACTGAGATTACATTCTCCATTAAAATACTGTTTATCTGTTCTTTAAAGCAGGCCCTGCAGAACTCTATTCATTAACACTTTCGCAAGCCTAATCTAGGTTATTGTATTCTACCTGATGATAATTCATACTGGTCATTTCCTTCCCCTGAGCTACTTGGGCCACAGATTTCTAAGCTCCACTTTTGAAGTAGACAAATGAAAGAAGGCTTCCAGCAACCATTTCACAGAGGAGTCAAGGCCTTTCACCAAGGACAGTTTTGCTGAGAATGGGGGAATTTTTTTTTTTTTGAAACAAGGTCTCTGTCTGTTGCCTGGGCTGGAATGCAGTGGCATGGTCAGCTCACTGTGAAACTCCTGTGTCCAGGAGATCCTCCTGTCTCAACCTCCTGAGTAGCTGGGACATACTACCACATGGCTAATTTTAATCGTGTGGGGATGGGGTCTTACTTTTTTGTCCAGTCTGGTCTTAAACTCCTGGCTTCAAACAATCCTCCCATCTCACCCCACAGAGTGTTGGGATTATAGGCATGAGCCACTGATCCTGCTGAACACAGAAATTATGGCTCCTTTTCATTTGTTTTTTTTCCCGTGATCGTTGCTATTTCTACCTCTACCCTTCTCTCTCTCTTTCCTTCCTTCCTTCTTTCTCTTTCTCTCTTTCTTTCCCTTCCTTCCTTCCTCCTCTTTCTTTCTTTTTTTCTTTCTTTCTTTCTCTCTCTCTTTCTTTCTTTCGTCTTTCTGTCTTTCTTATCTTTGTCTTTTTTTTGGAAACAGAATCTCACTCTGTTGCTCAGGCTGGAGTGCAGTGGCAGCGATCTTGGCTCACTGCAACCTCCACCTCAGGTTCAAGTGATTCTCCTGCTTTACCCTCCCAAGTAGCTGGGACTACAGGCACATGCCACAATGCCCAGCTTATTTTTGTATTTTTGGTAGAGAAGGGGTTTCACCATGTTGACCAGGTTGGTCTTGAACTCCTGACCTCAAGTGGTCCACCCAGCTCAGCCTCCCAAAGTGCTGACATTACAGTTGTGAGGCATTTTTCCCAGCCCTGCCCTTCTTTCTAAAAAAAAAAAAAGAAACCCAAGCACTTGTCTTTAAAGATATTAAGGATAAAGAAATGCAAACGTCTGCATCTTTCTGCTATGGTAGGCTTGGGAGCTTGGAGCCTAGAACTAGAGTGGGAAGTAACAGCTTGAAGAAATAAGAGTAGGCCAGATGCAGTGGCTCATGCCTGTAATCACGACACTGAGGTAGGAGGATCACCTGAGGTCAGAAGTTCAAGACCAACCTGACTAACATGGTGAAACCCCATCTCTACTAAAGATATAAAAATAAGCCGGGCATTATGCTGAGCGCCTACAATCCCAGCTACTCAGGTGGCAGAGGCAGGAGAATCGCCTGAACCCAGGAGACAGAGGTTGCAGTGAGATGAGATTGCACCACTGCACTCCAGCTTGGGCGACAGAGCAAGACTCTGTCTCCAAAATGAAAGAAAAAGAAATAAGGGTGGGCCGGGCCCAGTTGCTCATGCCAGTAATCCCAACACTTTGGGAGGCTGACACAGGAGGATCACTTGAGGTCAGGAGTTGGACACCAGCCTGGGCAACATAGCAAGATCCTGTCTCTACAAAAAAGTTTAAAAAGAAAATTACCTGGCATGGTGGCACATGCCTGTAATCCCCACTATTCAGGAGGCTGAGGCAGGAAGATCACTTGTGCCTGGAGTTTGAGGCTTCAGTGAGTTATGATCATACCATTGTACTCTAGCCTGGGTGACAGAGTAAGACGCTGTCTTTAAAAAAGAAGAGTAGAATCAAGGGGAGGCCCTGTGACCTGAGGAGAGATGAAGGATTATAGGGTAAGTGGGTGGGACATGCCTTCCACAGTTTCAACACTGAAAGACCTGTGTGGTTCCCTACTCTGTCTTCACAAGTATATTTACATAGAGCAGGTCCTGGTCCTAGGATAAGCTTAATTTGTTCCTCTAGTTCCTTTGTACCCTACAGTGTGGTAGGCTCTCTACACAGGGAGCTGGGAGGTCCCCCAGGATGCTAAGGAAAGAACTCTCTCGCAGTTGTGAGACTTCAAGAACTGGCCAATGATTTCAGTGGCCTCTTCACTGAGCATTCTCTCTGTAGAAAGAAACAGATACATGACTTCCTAGCTGCTTGAAATCTAGTGAAGAGAATGCAGTTGCAAAATAACTCCTAAAACCGTTGGTTGGTGATGGATGATGGGCCATGATATGATTCAGCCAGGGAAGGAGTGCTCTTCTGGTAAAGGTTGCAGAGAACACTTTTCATAGTCAGAATTAATATTCTTACCTGTCCTTGCTCTTCATAGCAACAGTCTGTTCATATTACTTATTCACCATGAATTCAGGAAATGTTTACTGAACACTACTTCTTGCTGGAGCAAAGAAATAGAAATGTCTGCAGTGCTTACCTCCCCTCAAGGCGCAGTCTTAGGAAAGTTGGTGTCATCTTTCTTGTGTTTTGAGGTTCACAACAGATGTCATCATCTATTTTGTTAAACACTCCTTTCTCTTCTGCCTCTTTTTCTCATTTCTGTCATCCTTTAGGTCTTATATCCAGATGGCCAGGCTCAGATGATTCACCCCAAGCCTGCAGACTTCCGGAATCCTGGCCCAGGGCGTCACCGACTCATCACTCAGGTTTACCTCTCCCACACTGCTTGGACAGGTAAGGAGTCAGAGCCAGAGTGTGCAGGAAAATACGCTGCTGGAGATGACCCCTACCCTTCAGCGCTTGGTTTTTAAAGTCTGAAAAAAATACATGGATCAGGCCTACTAAGAATTGAACTTGATTCCTCCATTAGTTTATAAGCTCAAACTGGATATACTTGGGCTAATTTGCTACAGAGCTTTGATTGCATGCATGAGCAATAAGATTGTGTTAGAAGATATACAGGCAATTCTGATAGATTGGAGTCTCATGGAAAGTGCCCTGGTCTGGACACCAGGAGACTATATTTTTATCCTAACTCTGCCACTGACTTGCTTTGTCACCTTGGACAAATCTCTCCCTTTCTTTTTCCTCACCTTCAAAATTACAATGATAATTCTCAATCTACAAATTAATTGTAAGGATTAAAAAAATATTTTTTCATTCTCCAACTTATATGTCTGAATTGTGAGGATTTTTAATCCATAAGAATAAAAGGGGAGAATACAAGTGCAAAGGAGATTACATTTCAAGCCTGTAAGGCTGCTTTAGGAAACTTAAAAAGAGCTCAGTCTGCAGAACCTAGAAAAGGGGGCAGAATTGGCCTCAGTGGTGTTTCCCAAATAACTGAAGATGATCCAGGAGCACTGTTGTTACTGGAGGTATTTAGTGTCACGAAATTTGTTTTATTTTAGAGATAGGGAATAGCTTTTGGAATTTTCTTTCACTCTGTGTTTTAAACACAGAATTATAAGGCCATTATTATTATTACTTTATATTTATTTTTATTATTTTTTGAGACTGAGTCTTGCTCTTCCCCAGGCTGGAGTGCAGTGGTACAATCTCAGCTCATTGCAACCTCTGCCTCCTGGGTTCAGGTGATTATCCTGCTTCAGCCTCCTGAGTAGCTGGGATTATAGGTCCACACCACCACACCTGGCTAATTTGGCCAGGCTGGTCTCGAACTCCTGACCTCAAGTGATCCACCCATCTTGGCCTCCCAAAGTGCTGGGGTTACAGGCATGAGCCACTGTGCCTGGCCTATAAGGCCATTATTAGTGGTTTCCCTCTGTCAGGGTGTTAGATGGGTACTCATGACTTTGTAAAGTTGTTGGATATTAGGGCAGCCCCTTTCAGGTTCTAGTGGCGCTAGGCCTGGTGTAGTTGAGGGAGCATCTGGCAGTTCTGCTACCCAGGATGTGCTTCCCTGAGCATTCCTTATCCATAATCTGGCTGCCTGGAATGTTTTGCACTATTTGCCAAACTACTGACCCCACAGAAAAGTAGAATCCTTATTCTAATATCTTCTGAGGAAGGGATCCTAGATATGAAGAAGAAAATGCTATGGGACAGCACTGTTTTGGAAGGGACAAGGCTCAGGGAAATTACAGTATGTTATAGCTCAAAAGAATGTGGCAGGTCTTCAGAGGGTACTGACTTGTCCCTGGTCACACAACAAGTCACTGCCAAGGCCAGAGCTAGAGCTGAGCTGATCTGCCCCCATGCTCAGAGGTTCTTTCTCTTAGGTCCCATTTGCTCTTAAGGTATATTAGTTCATGGCAGACTTCCTTGTTTGCCTATTGCCAGGCTATCCTGAGCCTGAAGAATTTTAACTTATACAAGATCATAGCTGGGTATGGTGGCTTGTATCTATAATCTTTGGGAGGCTGAGGTGGGAGGATTATTTGAGTCCAAGAGTTTGAGACCAGTGTGGGTAATATAGGGAAACCCTATCTCTATAATATATATAAAAAAGTTAACTGGGCGTGGTGGCACGGACACAGGAGGCTGAGGCAGGAGAATTGCTTGAGTCTGGGGGGTGGTCAAGGCTCCAGGGAGCCCTGATCACACCACTACACTCCAGCCTGCTTAACAGAGTGAGACCCTGACTCAAAAAAAAAAAAAAATCAAAAACCAAACAAGATCACCTCCTCTGAGTGGTTGCGACCCAGTCACTATTAAAAATCTCTATTTTAATTCTTGATGTGTAGCACTTATTGGTGTCAGATGTGTTTTCACATTTAATTATTTACTGACTTTCCCAGTAGGATGTAGGTTCCTATAGAGCAGGGAACTTGCTTGTCTTTGCCTCTGTATCTCCAGTGCTTCAGTAGCCTATGTCTCTAGCACCTGACATGTAGTAGGCACTTAACAAATGAAAATTGAATACAAGGTTTTAAATGTGCAATAAAAATTCATTTAATCTTTATACCAACTCTGCAGTGGGAATTAGTATTCTCTTCTTCATTTTACAGATACATATATGGAGGCCCATGTAGCTGATTAGTGATAGTGCTGAAGCTGGCACTCAGCTTTCCCTTACTGTGCTACCTCCCTTCCAGTTTGGGACACTCAAGTGCAATGTGTCTCATTGTTAATAAGCTTGCACTCTTTCTCTCTCTCTTTTTTTTTTGAGACGGAGTTTTGCTCTTGTTACCCAGGCTGGAGTGCAATGGCACGATCTCGGCTCACCGCAACCTCCGCCTCCTGGGTTCAGGCAATTCTCCTGCCTCAGCCTCCTGAGTAGCTAGGATTACAGGCACACACCACAATGCCCAGCTAATTTTTGGTATTTTTAGTAGAGACGGGGTTTCACCTTGTTGACCAGGATGGTCTCGATCTCTTGACCTCGTGATCTACCCGCCTCGGCCTCCCAAAGTGCTGGGATTACAGGCTTGAGCCACCCGCGCCCGGCCCGCACTTTCTTTTTCTTAATCCAGGAGATGGGGCCTGGAGTTTTTAGGGAGCTCCTTCAGTCCCTCAGCAGCTCCCCAGCAGGGAAGGACCTCTCCTCTGGGAGGCAGGATGCTGCCATGTAGGGAAGCTGAGTCACAGACCATATTTCAAATTCTGCCTCCTTTGCTGTGTGATCCTGAGAAAGTTATTTTACCTGTCTCATTATCTTTAAGATGATAATAAGAATGTAAAACTCCTAGGAGATATATTCTATAAGGTGTATGGGTTGTCCTAGATGATCTTGTCTCTTTCTCCCAAGTTTCCCTCCCTCTCATTTTCTCTCTACTCTGCTTTCCTCCTAAGGCATTGCCTTGGATTGCCACTCTTACCAAATGTTGGTAAGGGAATGCAAAATGACCCTATAGGGCTGAGTCTGACATCAACTCCCTCTGACCTTAACATGATTTGTTTGGTGGTTTTTTTGAGACAGGGTCTTCCTCTGTTGCCTAGGCTGGAGTGCAGTGGTGCACCCCTCTCAGGCTCAAGTGGTCCTCCCACCTCAGCCCCCCTAATAACTGAGACTATATGCCTGTCTAATTTATTTATTTATTTTTTTATAGAAATGGGGTCTCACTATGTTTTCCAGGCTAGTTTCAAACTCCTGAGATTAAGCAATAGTCCTGCATTGGCCTCACAAAGAGCTGGGATTATAGGCTTGAGCCACTGTGCCCAGTTCTTACCAAGATTTGGCTTTTTGAAAGTGCTCTGCAAACTGGGGCTGTGGTTCTGTCCTGCCACCTGGGACTGAATGGGAGAGTATGGCAGGAAAGCAGATATGGGTATCTATCTTGATTCCACCCTGAGTGGGAGATACATCTGGAGCCTGGTATCAGAGAACAGTGTTAGTTTCATGACAGTTACACTCAAGGCTGCTGCATGGCCCTCATGTTGTCATGTGAGTGTGTGCTTACCACATGGCTGGTAATTGCTGATGGCTGAGGCTGCACTTAGATCTCATGCTGAAATCTAAGGTGCACTGGATCGCTCTGGTCTTGGATTGCTCTTGGCCTCTGGATTGCTCTGACTGCACGTCTTTCCCTTCCTGGAGGACAGCAATCCAGTCTCTTCTCTGACCCATAGAGAGAAGACTGGATGTAACCAGGAAGAGGTCTGGGGAGGCATTGAGAAGTCCTGGAGTCTCTGCCCTTGTTAATTTAGATCCATCTAGCCCTCACTTCCACCCTCTGAAATTCTTAGCGTTGGGATAATCTTCCACACTTACACTTTTTGCTCTGGTTGCACCAAATTAAAGAGACATCTCAACCTCACTGTATTCCTGGCCTTTGCACTTGCCCTTACATTTTTCTGAATTTATCTCCCCCTTCTTTATAGAAGCATGTGGTTAATAGAAAGAGTAACTGCTTCAGTTTATGAACTGGGCTCAAATTCTTACCCAGGTGTGGATTTGAGCAGTCTCTGAGAACCTCTCTGAGTCTTGGGACTTTTGCCAAGATTGTGACAGTATTTGTTTCATAATGTAACAGGATAAGAACTTTTGGGGTTGGGCCAGGCGCAGTGGCTCAAGCCTGTAATCCCAGCACTTTGGGAGGCCGAGGCGGGTGGATCACGAGGTCAACAGATCGAGACCATCCTGATCAACATGGTGAAACACCGTCTCTACTAAAAATACAAAAAATTAGCTGGGCATGCTGGCGCATGCCTGTAATCCCAGCTACTTGGGAGGCTGAGGCAGGAGAATTGCCTGAACCCAGGAGGCGGAGGTTGCGGTGAGCCAAGATCACGCCATTGCACTCCAGCCTGGGTAACAAGAGTGAAACTCCGTCTCAAAAAAAAAAGAACTTTTGGGGTTATGTGCTTGGCATAGAGTGGATAGTCTATTCCAAAACCTTCTTGCACTCCCTCCTCAGTACTTCTTATACTGTACTCCATTGCAACTGTTTCCTCAACCAAATAGCCATCAACTTGAGGAGAGTTCTTATTTATTCTTGCTAGGACCTGCCACATACAGACACTAAATGATTATATTATGTTGTAATATAATGTAATGAAAGAATGAAATGTTTTCGGACATGATTTTAGGTCCCTGAAACATGTTCCTGTTCATTGGCCATAAGTTTCTGGTGAACTGTTTGCTATTCAAAGGCTTTCCTCTCCACTAATAAAGTGTTTGTGGTACGTGCAGCCGTGAGGCTTGATATCAAACTG